GATCTCGCGGTCCGTGAGTTCGAGCCCCGCGTCGGGCTCTGGGCTGATGGCTCAGAGCCTGGAGCCTGTTTCTGATTCTGTGTCTCCCTCTCTCTCTGCCCCTCCCCCGTTCATGCTCTGTCTCTCTCTGTCCCAAAAAAATAAATAAACGTTAAAAAAAAAAAATTTTTTTTTAAATTAAAAAAAATTTAAAAGAAAGATGTTCAGCGGATAGTCATATCTACAGGTCTATGCTCAGAAAAGTGGTTTGGGCTGGGATATAAAAGAGGGAATTGTTAGCATAGGACAGACATTTAAAGCTCTCAGAGCAGGTATTATCACCCAGGCAGACAATGTAGGTAAGATGAGATGTTAGACCAGGTGCAGGCCCTGACTAACTCCAGCATTTAGAGATCAGAGGAGAAACAGCCAGCAAAAGAGTCTGAGAAGGCAGAAGTAAACTGAGCCCAAATGGTCACAGGAGCCAAAAAGACAGACTATTTCTAGAAGTGAGGCAGTGCTACCTATGCCAAATGCTGCTGAAAAAGTCAAGGATGATGAGACCAAGATGTGTCCACTGGATTTTGTCATAAACATGTTACTGATCTCAGCCAAAAACAGTTTCTATGAAGTAGTAAGAAAGAGATCAGATTGGAGAGGGTCTAGAACGGCGCCTGCTCCGTACATATTCAATCCACTCCCTGTCTATTTCAGTCATCCCCCACGCTCCCTTTCTTACACACATCCTAAGCTCTAGGAAGAACAGAAGGCTTATACTCTCTCACATGGGTCATTCTCTTTCATAATTTCATGCTTCTGACTTGCTGTTTCTCTATTCTCTCTGCCAAATCCAGTGCCACCAAATGCCCAGCCTCCACTAAATCCAATGTTACTGAAACATGAATTACTCTCATCGTAGCACTTTCCCCTGGAGATGCTGGTTCAAAGAGCCACCACAAGCAATGCCTGGCAAATTTGGAGCCAACGGACTATCTCCAGCTTTGACTTCTATCTCACTTAGGGATCACATGTACATATTCACAGGACATTGCCACCTATTGCTTGGCTCGTATACTATTTTCCTGAACAATCATGATTACTAAAGAATTGTATCTGAATGCTCTCAGTTAATCTGGGTAGGCACACCCTGGGGGCTGTGGACACATCTGCAAGGTTACTTGTCAGGGGCCCGGAGGCATGGGAGTCTACGACTCCCCCACGTCCAAGCACACATGGTATTCTTAGGCAAAGCCGGCACCAGAGTGACACGCTTCTGGATAACCAGAGCTCGAGGGAGACGAACCTGGACCTCGTCGTCCTTGCGGATGGGCATGGAGCGGACGTTGTACTTCTGCCGCAGCTCCTTGGAGAGCGGGGAAGACATGATCTTCCTGCGCACGTGCGAGGGGGCATTGAAGTGGCGTTTGCGGTTTTTGCTGCGGTCCGAGGTCACGAAGGGGTTGAACTTCATGCTGGCCGTCTGCAAAAAGAGGCGCGGGAAGGAGTGATGGGTGCTCAGTCGGGTACCATGGCCCGCTCTCCATCCAGGACACTCCTCCCATCCCTGCGCAAGAGCTCTACGGGAGGAGATGGCCTCAGAAGGTGATGGAAGGAGGAGAATGGGGCAAATGAGGGGTCTGGCTGTGACACAGTAAAGCATGCGTGGGGAGCGCGTGCCTGAGCAGAGGAGTCGTGGGAACAGGGCGGCAGTGGGGCCTCGAGGCTCACTGTCAGAGGAAGGTTTGGACGGCTGGAGAAGAATGCATGCTTGGAGGTCACGCAGAGATCTCTGGGGAGACGGGCGGCCCCGCGGCGCGTTGGGGAAGAATCCAATGGGGCGGAGCGCTTCTCACTCGGACAAAACACCTGCCTCTCTCTACTCACCTTGCACCAGTCAGGCTCAGACGGCGCGCGCGCAAGGCCGGAAGTAAGGACTTCCTTGCCGCGCAAGCGTAGAGAGGAAGCGGAGTCCCTTTCCGGTCAGAAAGAGACTGAATGGCGCCCCCTGCGACTTGGGGTGGGATCGCAGTGCCTCATTCTAAGGGAGCCACCCCAGGGCCATGCCGCTTTCGGGGGTCAAGCCAGAAGCCACGAAGAGTTGGCACCGCGGGGGAGAAGGGGCATATTTCTGTAGGGCCTGCAACAGAGGCCTATTGGTGTGTTAAAAATAGGTACACCAATAGTCTGTTTCTCATCCCAAACTTTCTTTGCCTGTGTTACCCTCCGCCGAGAGGCATATTGAGCATTCCTGATGATCCAGATGCAATCGGCTGACTTGCTTCTTTAGAAACACTGAGAAGCTTGTTCAAAATTAAAAAAAATTAATTAATTAAAAACAATTTTTTTTTTAAACGTCTATTCATCTTTGAGAGACAGAGGGAGACAGAGCATGAGCGGGGAAGGGGTAGATAGAGGGAGACACAGAATCTGAAGCAGGCTCCAGGCTCCGAGCTGTCAGCACAGGGCCCGACGAGGGGCCCGAACCCACGAACTGCGAGATCATGACCTGAGCCGAAGTTGGACGCTCAACCGACTGAGCCACCCAGGCGCCCCCAAAATGAAAATTTTTGTGCTCCATCACAGTCGTAAGAAACCACGCAGTGGTAAGTGGGGGTTTTAAAGCAAGCACTCCCCTCGTCCTGCCCACCCAAAGAATTTGAGGTGCAACAATAGGGCGTTGAGAACCAACCACCTGGTCTTGCAAAACTTTCCCCCAGTGTTTTAGCCCTGTTGGGGAGGGCTGGGGTTGTAGAGTCAGACCTGAACCCAAGTGCCTCTTCCCGTGGCTGGATCTTGGGGAGATGCCTGCATGTTTCTGAGCCTCAGTTTTGTCGTCTGTGAAATGGGGATGATCTCAGTAGGTGCCTCATAGAGTTGTTATGAGAACTAAGTGATCTAATCCGTTGGGAATGTTTAGAACAGGGTCTGGCGCATAGCTCTTAATTACAGTAAGCCGTTATTCCTAATGAAAGCAGAGGCCTATGTGTGGGGCTTCCTTCAGGCCAGCCCTAAAGCCGGGCCTCACATCCATGAGTCCTCACATTCAGACTTTCACCATTAACTACCGATGACGCAAACAGTAAGCTTTTTGTGTTTGAAGTAAACACGTTCAATGCACCTTGGGGAAAAACCAGCTGGGGCCTCGGCAGTCAGAGCTCGCCTGCAAGTTTGTGGCCGCTGCCCCGCCCTGCTCATCCCGGCTACGCCCCCCCCCCGGATTCCAGCCCCAACCTCGGCCCCCCGCGTTCCCGCCTCGCCCCGCCCAGTAGTGTCCGAGCCCCGCCTCCCCTCCCGGGCAGACAGCCCGGAGACGCGGGCGCCACCCTACGGGCAGTCAGCCTGAGACACCCCGCGCGCGAGGCAGCTGGGAATGAAAGGTTTCATTCTGCTCATAGAGTTTACATAGTTCATATGTATTAAGCACCTACTTTACGCCACATGTCAGAAGACGTTGTAGTGCTCAATCAACAGGCACCCCGAAATTCAGAGAGAGGGTTGTCTTGCTAGACTCAAGCAGGTCCCCTGCTCTCTCCGTTTATTAGTGTCCCCAGGCATATGGTGACGCAGTTGTCAAACACTAGCATTTTACTCTGCCTCATGATCAGCCAGGGCATCTGCCTTGATCCCTGAACCCGATGGGTCCTATTTTAGGTTTCACTCTAGAACGCTTGCAGTCAGTGTTGGAGACTTCTGGCCTTCAGACTTAGGGAGGATGGCCAACATCCGGACTGTTTGTAGACGCCAGGGCATTAGGGTGAGCGGTGCCAAACTTGTTGAGGCAGTGGCAACTGGAAAGCCACCCGTTGTGGGTGCCCCAGACTCCAAGAGTAAGGAGGTTGGAGGGAGAAGCCTAAGAAAGGAAGACTTTCTTAAATGTCTCTGCCACAAAGGAGAAATGGCAATTATGTGAGGTGGTGAAGTGTTAACTCAGCTACTGTGGCAATCATTTTGCAGTAGCAACTCAACCTTAAACTCCTAAGGTTATAGGTCCGTTATAGTTCAAAGTTGGGACCAAAAAAATGTCACTCACCATGGGAAGGCAGGAATAGAAGCTCTTATGACCGACTGCACATAGAAAGTCAGAGGGTTCTTCTCAAGCAGCCCTTACAGTGTTCATCAGACCCAAGGTCCCTTACCTCCCCTCCCCCATAAGTTCATTTAGTCACTCACTGGCATAACTCATTTGCCTACTCATTTATTCCAATATTCATCCATTTGTGCATTAATTTATTGATAGGTACTAGTAATTTAGCCATAGTATGGGCCTAGATCAAGGAGCTCTGGGGAGGAGGAAGATCTATCTAGTCCCTGATTACAGTGAGGAGCGCAGAACCTCACTGGTGCAGGGCAACCTTGAGGACAGATCATTACAACCCAGGATAATCTAGGTATATTCATGATCAACCAGGGTGGGGAGGCGATACTTGACGCTCCTTCTCCCACGGCTCAGTAAAATTAAGACAGGTGCAATGACATCACCAGATGAGACCCTGAGAGCCTGAGGCTTTGTCACTCTAATGAGGACTTAGTGGGCTTGGCTACTATCTTGCCCCATGTCCACTCTTGGTAACACACATGGGAACTGGTATAGAAGCCCCAGGACCTAATACAGTGGTAGCACAGAGGAAACGCCCGGGAAATATTTTTATGCCTCTGAGGTAGAGGGTGATGTGGTGGGGAAACATGTGCGCCCTGATTCTGACTGCCTGGGTTTGGATCTCCATCACTTCCTGGCTGTGTAGGTTTGGGTAGGATATTGAGCCTCTTAGAGGTCACTCACCTTCCTCACCTGAGGAATGAGAATAATGATAGTACTTACATTATTGATTTGGTGTCAGGATTAAATGAACCCTTAGCACAAGCCTTGGCACAAAGTAAGCACTTAATTAATGGTAGAAATTGTTGTTTATTAAATGAATGAATAGCAATGGCTAATCTTATTTGGCTGCGCATTTAATGCCAGGCATTGTGCTAAGTTTTACAAACACTACCTTACTTAATCTGGTAAACAATCCCCTGAATTGGTCCCTTTTGCAGGTGAGAAAACAGGTTCCGAATGAGATGGGAACAGGCTGAACATGATCCACCATTACATACTCAACATGCTTATTGTTATCTTGTAGCCACTAGAGATCAGGATGAGATCTATCAGTAACATAGGAGGATGTCTACTGGAAGAGAGTAAACCGCAAAATAATATTAACAGCATGATCCCATTTTGTTTGTGGGAGGATATGACTAAAATGTTAACAATGATTATCTCTGGCTAGTGGAATCAGGGGTCCCTTTAATTTTTCCTTTTTTTACTTTTCGCCTGTCTGATTTTCCTCCAGTGGGGCCATGAGCATGTCTTATTTGTGTAATTAAAACCATGTTTTAAGGGCCTTACATTTTTCAACGTTTATTTATTTTTGGGACAGAGAGAGACAGAGCATGAACGGGGGAGGGGCAGAGAGAGAGGGAGACACAGAATGGGAAACAGGCTCCAGGCTCCGAGCCATCAGCCCAGAGCCCGACGCGGGGCTCGAACTCACGGACCGCGAGATCGTGTCCTGGCTGAAGTCGGACGCTTAACCGACTGCGCCACCCAGGCACCCCTAAGGGCCTTACATTTTTAACAAGATCTCCAATATTCAAGTTAGCTTCCCTTGCAGGCTGTTTAGAAAGAAGGAAACAAAACACAAAGTACCCTCACCACTTTCAATTTCCCCCATTTTGGGGGGTGGGGTGCGGGGGTCAGTTTTCTCTTTTGATATGGACAAGATGACCTTGGGGACCGAGGCAGAACCATAACCCAGAGTCAGGCGGACAGGAGTTTGAATTCCAACTTTGTCCCCTGCCAGCTGTGTGACAGAGAAAAGTTACTAAATTTGTCTTGTCCTTTGTAAAAAGGAGGTAACTTCCACCAGGCAGGACTGCTGTGAGGATAGAGAAAGACAAGGCCTGAACGATCACTCCTTGCAGGCACGTGGAGAATGCCCAACCGTGGGTAGCTTTTTCTACATGAGTCAAGACAAAAACAACTTATTTTGGGCAGAACAAAGTGCATGGCCTCGTCACTACACGACTGACCAAAGACAACTGTTGGGGAGGGAAAAAGGTCTTTAATGAGCACATTTCTTAGGAAGGCGTTAGGACTACCGGTGGCCTGCCACATTGAGAAAATGTGTATCTTTGTCTCTGGCAAGAATCGAGAACCAATTTGCGACATAGAGTAGTAAGAAATGCACCTGCCACTTCCAAGCCCCATTGCTACAAGACACTTCTCCCCAAACTTCACACCCACTCTGACACCCGCCCACCTCAGGCAGCATGGGCTGCAGGACTTGAGCTTCTCTCTTCCCTGATGCACCTCTGTAACCTCACCCCCTGCTCAACTGCAAGCCCCTCCCCACCCCAACCCCGCCCCCGCAAGAAGCCATTTCTGCCCGAGCCACCACGTCCCCAAACTATCAACTCCCCCTCTACGAATCTGTGCTATAATCCCTGATTGAGAAATCCTCTTATGCGAAAACGCTGTAATCTGCTCTTGGTTAGATAGTTGAAAGAATTGGTTTAAGAGAGAAATCATACAAATGACACATACCTTAAATGTTTTACGTCCACTTAAAAAACATTTGCCAATCTTTTGACCCTGGAGCAAGGTTTTCTCATGGAGAAACCTCCCCATTGGAGTTCTCCTTCACTTTCCTTGCATAAACCATGTCCTTACATAAGCCAACTTGAGAGAGTTCCAGTTTTGGGTTCCTTAAATGTGGAGGGAGAATTTAGACCCTTTCCATGTGAATACAGAATCTTCAAGGACGCCCCCCTCCTTCCCAGGTCTTTTTAGTAAGAGGTCTTGCTCGTATCTAATTTGGGAGCATTTTGAGGAGGGGGGTGGCAACTCGCCTTTATCAGGTCTCTGCAAAGTGTACAACTTCGTTGTACTAGATTCTTTCATTTTCCTTTTCTTGTTTATTTATTTTTGAGAGAGCACAAGCAGGGGAGGGGCAGAGTGAGAGGGAGACCCAGAATCTGAAGCAGGCTCCAGGCTCTGAGCTGTCAGCACAGAGCCCGATGCAGGGCCTGAACTCATGAACCGTGAGATCATAACCTGTGCCGAAGTCAGACGCTTAACTGACTGAGCCACCCAGGCGCCCCGATTCTTTCATTTTTCAATCCTCTTTCACTGGTTGATCACATCATGACAGCATAAAGCACGGCTGGCATAAAAAGGCTTGGGAAGACACGTAATTGACCACCGGCAGCATATTCCTCCTGACCTTCGGCTTTGAGTGTCACAAGAACTCTAGTATCAGGATGTTACAGAGAGAATCCGTGAAGTTTCTTGCAGAGCGGTTCACTGCCACATTCATCCCTAATGAATGATCCACGTTCATGCTGTTCCAGGTGAGGGCCTTAAAGAGCCGAGAGCAAGGTCGTAAATAGCCATGTCAATCTCCTTTTCAGAGCTGGGATAGTCTCCCCTTTGCTGAGATTAAGTCTGAACAAGGATTGCCAGATCCTTGGAAATCAGGGAGAATTTGTGAAACACCTTTAATTTATTGCAGCCCTTGGTTCAAAGCTGTGGTTAAACATGTTAGTTAGCCCTGTTCCCTGTTCTCAAAGAGACTATATTCTATTTTGGAATACCTGTATGAAACAACTCCCATTTTTGAAAATTTACCACATACCCCTTTGCCACATCCACAAGCTCCTTCTGATCCAGTGTGACTTACTTGTGCATATTATAGATTTAATTTCTGTAACAGCCCTGATTGATTACTCTCCCTATTTTCACCTGAGGAAACTGAGGCACTGAGTGGTTAAGAACCTGACCTGAGGCTACACAGCTAGAAAATGGCAGATCCAGGAATATTCTGTAGGGATTCAATAAAGAAGGGCTGGTTGCAAGAGATCTTGACTTTCCAATCATCCTCACGGATCTTTTCCACATTTCCCCATTTTTCTCCTCTAGAATTAAATTCCGTTCTGACTGTGTGCCCAGCCTCTAGGCTACCCAGCCACAATCAAGTAGAAAGAAACACACAACAACAGTTCTGAAAATCAGCCTTTTAATCTATTTGAACCCAACGAGTGGGGAAAGAACTAAACCATTTTTTCCCTTGAGATTGTTTATAAGAATAACAGGTCAGAGGTGTCTCTTCCATAGGAAACTGACATCCCCCATGTCCTCAAGAGTTATTATTTTTTTTTCTGAAAAAAAGCATAAAAGTGGAATTTCAACTCATGTGCATGCCACACATTTCCCCACCCCACCCTGCCCACCCTCTACAGGTGCAGGTATTCACACACCAAAGAGACTCCTTTCTCCAACTGGGGAACAGTAGGTGAAAAAAAAAAAAAAAAATCCATCCAAGTGGCCACAGATACCAGAGATAACCAAATGCAGTTTGCACTCACAACATCAGTCAACTCGTATGCAGAAGGGGACACTTTTCTAACTGGAATCCAGAGCCAAAACTTACAAATGGCAGAGACTTGAGCTATCCATAGAGATAATTTAAAAACTTCCACCAGACACTCCCCTTAATTACAAAAGTATGCAAACAATCTTGATATAAATGGAAAACAGGCAGGCGGCTCTCTCCCTGGGACACAAGGGCATACCTAAAATTCCCCCGGGGTGGCATTCGTGCCTGGACCATTGCAGCTCCCTTTCCGGACTGAAGGGGAAGGATGAGGGTGAGCAGCGGGGTAGGGACCCACCTCAGGAGCAAGTGGGGAGACAATGGAGCTGTCCCCAGGGACCAAGAACCTATATGGCCCCTGATGGGGGGGGGGGGAACCTCAGTGGCAAGTGGGCCACAACTGAGCTGCAGAGAAGTCCGAGTGCTATGCACCCGCTGGAAGCCCGGAAGGTAGATGTCCAAAGACAGGGCTGATCTGCTCTGCTTGCCCCACCTAAGGCCTTGGGACTGATGGCAACTGTCCAGGAGAGGGTGAGACATGATTATTTCAGGGCTGCAGAGGATGCCTTCCATCTGGACATGAGTGCACAGACCATGTCTGGTTTTCAAAGGATGATTCCCCAGTGACAACCAGCCCCTCCACCAAGAGATGCTGCTGCCACACAGCACAGGGGCTGAGGCACATTGGTGGGGGTGGGGATGGGGTTTCAGAGAAACAAGGTGAAGAGAGGAAGGAGAACTTGCCACCCGCCCAGTTTCCAACAGGCAGACCTGAGTTTCCACCGCGGCTACCCAACAACTGGGCGTCTGCTTCTCAGGAGAAAAAGAAATGGGTGGGGGTGAGGGACTTGAGCCTGAGCTCTGAGATGGACAAGAAGGGATGGAGCAAAGGCGAGGGTTCTACCTATAGCGCCACATCCCAGGGACTTGCCTGGGAAGTACCATCCTTATTGAAGGCGTAGAGTGGAGGTACCCGGGGGCAGTGTGGTCCAAAGCTGAGAGCCCCGGTCTGCAGGCCGGCTCCCCAGGGGAGAGGCCAAGTGATTAGTGCGTCCAAATGGTGGGAGCTTCGAGATTGTCAAAGCCTGGCTGTGAGCTGGTCGACGTGGACTCTGGGCTGTTCCCCTAAGAGGGAAGGAACTGCAGCCCTCCCAGGAGTGGTCCCCAATATCCCCGCACCTCCCTTGCCTGACTGTGGTGGTCTTGGGGCTCCCCAGGAAAAGGGGCACCACGACTTCAGGCAGTGTATTTCGTGTCAAATTAAAGACGGGGAAGAGAGGTAGCTGCGAAACCGTGAGCCGCCCCCTGCCTCCCCCCACCCCCACTTTGGGATGCAGCCAGATCCTGGGCCAGATAAGAGGGCAGGAGGAGATGGGGGGCCGGAAGCAGGGCTGGCAGTCTCCCGGGGTCCTCGGCCATTGGGCCGGCGGGTCGTCAATGCATTTTGCCCAGCTGGATCTTCTTCCAGGCCTCCGAGGCTGTGAAGATACAGGAGTCCAGAATGCCGGCAACAGTGAAGGTCCCACCGATAATGGCACAGATCTGAAAGGGCGAAGGGGGGAGGGTCAGAGGTCAGCGCCGGATGGAGCACCAGGCCACACCCCTCCCAAATCACCAGCTCTGCCCCATAACTAATGGGGTCTGGAACATATGCAGGGTTCAACAAAACCCACTTATTGGATGATGAATTTAAAAACAATAAAAGTAACCATCAGCAGCTCCTTTAAATCCCATACCAACCGTCTGAATGAGGAAGGGGATTAGTAGACCCGTTTCATCGGTGAGAAAACCAAGGTTTAGTTAGGTAAGTGAATTCACACTGGAAGTAACACAGCTGTGACCTGAACTCAACTATGTCTTGACCCTGGAGCCCGTGGTCCTAACTTCCACTCTAAATTTATCAGATTTTTACAGTCCCATTTGCAGATGAAGGAATGGAGGTTCAGAAAGGCAGTGCCACTGGCCCAAGGTCACACAGCCAGGAAGTGGCAGTCCCGGGACTTGAACCTGGCTCTGACAGGTCCAGGCCCAGCGCTGCCTGTGACTGAGATCCGGGGTGGGCCGAATAGGCAGCATTGGCCTGGATGGACGGGAATGAGAAATAAATCTCTCACTCTCCAAAGCTTGTAGGAGATCAGTGGGATGGGTAGTAATCAAATAATCAGACCAACAAATGCAAAAGTACAACCAGGGCAAGAGCTAAAGAAGAGAGGGAGCCTCTGGCACTACCAGAAAGCTTACATTACAGCCAAGTTTCTAACGGCACTATTTACTTTGGGGACCAGAAAATTCTTTGTTGTGGGAGGGCTGTCCTGTGCAATGAAGGATGTTTATTTGCAGCCTCTTAGGCCTCCACCCATGAGACTCCAGTAGTACCCTTTCCTTCCTGTCGTGACAACCAAACGTTGTCAAGTGTCTCCGGGGGGTAAAAACTGCCCCCAGTTAAGAACCGCTGCAGTAGGGGGGATGACAATGAATGCCGCCTGTATGCTGTACTTCCTAACTCCCGGCCACACGATCAAATGCAATAACCAGGACAAAACAGCTTACATAGCACTTTCTCTGTGCCAGGTGGGGCTTGAGTACTTTGTGCCTCCCTCCTCCCTGCATCCCTAGGCCAACCCTAGGAAGTACTACTCTGACGCAAATATTACCGCCAAGGAAACTGAGGCACAGAGACATTGGATCACCGGTCCAATACCACAGTGATTAGTGGGTCGAACTTGGGAGTCTGCACTCTTAACAGGACGCTCCGCTGCTTCTCAGGCACGAAACTCTCCACCTAACTGAATTCCTATCTTTGCTTGTGCCAGAACTCCACCTGTGACACATCAAAATAATGCTCTGTGTTACTCAAAATTTCCTGGCCTGCCTATTGGTTGCTTTCTGGTTGCATAATAGAATCAAAGTATGGATGATGGAAGATAAAAGAACTTCAGAGGAGATTTGCAAGGCAACTTTAAATGAATTTTTCCTCTTGGGGTGCCTGGGTGGCTCAGTCGGTTGAGTGTCCTGACTTCGGCTCAGCTCATGATCTCACAGCTCGTGAGTTCGAGCCCTGCGTCAGGCTCTGTGCTGACAGCTCGGAGCCTGGAGCCTGCTTCGCATTCTGTGTCTCCCTCTCTCTCTGCCCCCTAACCCACTCGCATTCTGTCTCTGTCTCTCTCAAAAATAAACATTAAAAAAATTTCTTTTGATGTATTTTTCCTCTTGAGCACATACTTTATGCCACTCCGAAGAGCCAATACCACCCATCACCCAGTGTGCCACTCTTGAGTCACGTACCCATGGCGCCCAGACAAGGAAATAACTTTTCCAAGGTCACACAGCGAGCGGGTGGCACAGCAAGGTCTGTCTGCCTCCGGAGCTCGCACTCTTTCCCCCATGCCACATGCAAGAAGCACTTAAATGACCACAGGACTCCGAAGAAGCCCAGAGGAACAGTCCTAGAGGGCCCCCTGACACTGCCCCGGAGGCACCACTGGGTGGCTGGCCCGCCACTGACGCTCAACCGCTGGAGGACTCTGAGAGACGGCAGTGACTTAATGGATCCTCTGGTGCCAAGTGCGGGAGGCCAGGAGACACGGCGGAGGTGAGAGGGAAGTGCAGATCGAACCAGTGTTTATTTTTAAAATGATATTTCCACAAGATGAGCTAAGCAGAGGCCTGTGAGGCCCAAGACAGAGCAGGTCTGTACGGATGGGCTCTAAGTAGAGCAGCTGGCATTCCAGTAATAACAGCCCAAGAAACCAGAGCAGCCCCCCAGGGAGTGAAGAGGATGGGGGGCGCTAGGGGGATTATTATGAAGTGTTTTCAGCAGGCGGGGCCTCTCCCTGCCAGCCTCAGAGCATGACGCAGGGCCACTTTTCAAGGAAGATGACGGCAGGGGAGCTGGTTTATTTCGGTAGACTGGATCAGATGATAGGAGATTTTACACCACAAAATGCTTTTAGGGCTTGGGTCAGAGAAGAGGAAAATGTGACTTAAGTGCAATGGAGCAAATAATAAAAACAAAAAAACCACACACACACACACACACACACCCCCTATATCCGCACACACGCTTTGGAACCCAAGCGTGCCTATGATTCACATACACCTGGCACCCAGTCTGAAGTCTCCAGGAGCAGGAGGAGACAGCACATATGCATTGAGGTACAAGAAAACACACAGCTGCGGGGAAGCTGAGGCCCCGGGGCACGTAAGCTACTCGGCAACTAGCCCCATCAGAGTGAGCTGCCGTGAGCCTAGGGCTAAGGGGGCGCTGCAGTGAGGCCCCCTGGGTATCCCCCAATACCCCCCACACAGCAGCACATCCCCCTTTATCCTACATCTGTTAAAGGTGCTCGTCACCGGTCTGATGAGGAGGGGGATTTCTGGCACATTCTGGGGCAGGGGGAGGCACCTCAAAAGCTGAAAGAAAAATCTAGCAGCCTGTTTGACGCTGGTATGGCCCCTGCCTTCAGGATTTTGCCATTAGCCTGCTCCGGCCTTCTTGACACGCTCACACTCATAGGTGGTGACTGGTATGAGGTGAAGCAGGGGTCACGAGGGGAGGGGTCCCGGGGCGCTCTCAGGCTGTGGTGCTCCCTGGATTCTGACACGTGGGTGGCCACAGCGACCCTCAACACCAGGAGGTGACCACATCTGGACTCTCCGAGGAGGTGGCCAGTCTCAGCCATCTTGTGTCCCGGGAAGGCCACAGTCCCCAGTTCCGAAACAGGGAAATAAATGAAGCCACGAGGCTGCAGTGGACAGAATGTCTGTCTTGGGACTCAGGCCTTACATTGGTGGTGGCAAGGTGACAGGCTTCACCATACTGGTGGGGCAGATCTCAAGAACAGGCCAAGAAAAGGGCTGTTGAAAGGGCAGATGGTGGCCTGGCATCCCTCCGACCCACGATGGGGGATGTGCCAAGATGCACACACATGAAGAAAAGTTTACATAAAGCCAATCATATGCATCCTCACTGTACATGGTGCAGGGGCCCTGAGCAGAGTGGGGTGGGGATGAAGTGTGTCTTGGGGAGTCTACCAGGGCCTCCCCTGCCATGGCAGCAGAAAGGGTTCAGCCTTGGGAAGCCGAGCCGTGGCTGTCGCTTACTCTAGCCATGGGAGAGCCGTTCTGGGCCTCGTTTTCATCTACGACACGGGAAAACCACCCCTACCCTGCCAATTGTCGTACTGCAGGAGATGCCCCTGGAGCTCCCAGCGCTTAGTAGGTGCTCAGTAAACAATACCTAATCTTTCAACTGACTGGAAGGCTCTGACCTCGTTGCTGAGATCTGAGATTTTCTAAATCTCTCTGAGACCCACTCTAAGAACCGCAACGGGTAAAATACCACTTACTCCTCAGAGCAACCCTTTGGGTCTCAATTTCCTTTTTTTCTAGCTGGCTCTTTTACCGAAAGAACAAGCCCATTCATGGAAAGACAGGACAGCAAAGGTGTCCCTGGCACCACATGCAGATTCTTTGCAGTTGCCCAGGTCCTAAGCACTTCAAGTGCCCATTCTACAGATGCGGTAGCTGAGATCTTGACAGGATATTCCCTCAAGCACATGCCAAGAGGTGTTTGTGATGAAGCAGATCCCTCAGGGGGCAGAGTACCTAAGCTGGAGGTTATTTCCATTCTCTGGCCACTCAGGGAGCTCTTCACATCTGCCCAGGGCTCTACGTCAACCACAAACACCAAGAAGATATCAGAAGTACCCGATACAAAGGTATTTCTGGTTGGGGCCCCTCCTGTCGTGTACCCTTGCATCATCCTTACTTCCCGGACCTCAGTTTCCTTCCTTTAAAAAAACGGGAAGGCTAATCCTCACCCCTCAGGACAGCTATCAGACCGAACGAGTGTTTGTGTTACGCACACAGCCGTGAATGTCCCCTTGGTCCCTCGCCGCTGCCATGTTCTTGTACCTCCGGACCAGGCCCTGGGGCAGTGGGGGTGGTGAAGGAGCAGGGCCACTGAGCCAGAAAGGGCCACTAGACCCAGCACATGCAACCCCACTCTGGTCAGCAGCCCTGGCTCCAGAAATGGAAACAAGGACAATTCGATATCCAGGCCCCAGTGAGTCTGAGAGGAGCGCATTACTTTGTTTTCATCAGAAGTCCTCAATAACATGCCCCTTTGTTCTTTAGCAGAGATTTCCTGTGGTTTCACCAGCTTCCCAGCCTCCTGCTATGGCTAGAATGAAGTCAGTTTCTCTACCTTGAAAAGGAGATGTGTGTGTGTGTTTCCCTTACATTTTAATTATGGCTCTTAATTCCTTACAATATGGAAAGGACGCGTTCTAACCGCACTGGCTGGAGAGCTGAATCCCTCTGTTGTTCCACCAGCACTAATGCTTTCCCGATCCATCGTCCCTCCCCCGCATTTTCTTTTCCACAGTGGGCAACGGAGGAGCACAACACATACCAACACGGGGGTGGGGGTGGAGACTGCGGGCTCTGGAGGAAACATTCCTGCGGTCAGACGCCAGCTCTGCCACTCTGGCCAGGAAAGCCAGGTTACC